AAATATTTAACAAGATCATTCACCATTTTCTTGTAGACTAGTATCCTACATCCTCTATCCTGATGAGACTATTTCTTACTCCTAGCTTTCCCTTCAAGGCTGCAACCTCTCTCTACCCATTCTTTCATATTGCTGGGTAGGCAGGGAGTGCAGGAACAACTGCTACAGAACCACTAGAATAACTAAAACTGTAATATTAGTTTTAGACTTTGAATTCCCCTATAAATATTATTTTAAAAGTATTTAACATATGGAAAACCAAAATGCAATTATCTGTTCACACGTGATTACTATGCTACTTGCAACTACACAATTCGTTTGGTCAAAGAACACTTCTACTCAGTCAACAGTCTCTACTCAGCAAGCCTGCTGCTTTTCCCCTGGAAGAGACCAGAAGTAGCTTCATGGCACGTCCTGTCCCCTCCACCTGTCACAGTGCACCCCTAAGTACAGCTGTCAGAGCCTGGCTTTTTGTGGCAGCCCGTGAGGTACAGGAGGGCAGGTCTGGTGCTTTGCTGGCAGGAGCTGACTGCTGCTGCAGGCAGGTGTGGTAGGGGTTGCATGCCAGCTGCTGCCACTAGACTGGGATGGGAGGAACAGCAAGGATCTGGCTTCATCAGCTGTTGTAGAGGCCAGCTGCAATTTACATAGGAATTATATTATGTACTCCACTTATAGAAATACTGATTAAGTTTGGGAGCAAGCACTTTGATTTATCTGCCAAGAGCAAAAACTATTCCTTTGTGCATTGTCAGCCTTAAGGAACTCAGTCTAGAACTATTTTAAGTGTCTTCCAGATGTCTGAGTGTAATACAGAGATTAGAGAGGATAAAGTTAAGGCAGAGCTGATCCCAACTGTCTAACTGTTTGAAGAAGAGAACTGTGAGTTAGCTTTGAGCCAACAGACATTTGAAATATATATTCAGTATTCAACTAACACCAGATGGTTACAGCTAAAAAAGGAGCTAGCTGAATACCTCATAGAATCATACAATCTTTCAGGTTGGACAAGACCTTTAAAATCAGTAAGTCTAACCCCATTTACAATATCCCAATCTCAACACAAATAAAAAATAGTGAAGTATGCTTTAAATTGTGCTTGCTGAGAGTGCTCCCACACCCCTCTCTCACTCTCTGCCCCTTAGGGGTAGCTGGAGCACAGCTCATCATAGCTCCTCCACTCCTCTCCCACAAGCAAAGCAAGATGCTCCAGAGCCTAGATATCCTGCTTGCGCTTGGATTCCCCTTCACTTACAAGGAATACTTCTACAGAAAATTGTGATAAGCAAGGAAAAAAACCCTATTAATTATGTAACAGTGTTTGATCAGAGAACCAGACAATTAGCATGTGGAAATTCCCTTTCCTGACGGGAATTTTTTTTTCACTTTTACAAGGTGAAAGCTGGGGGCACTACAGGTAGTTACAGCTGCAGAGGTCAGAGAGTAACCAAATGTCATTGTGCTGGCTAAGGTTTTATATAATTAGATACATTTGGAAGAAAGGATTAATTCAACATCATGATACAGCCTGAATCAACTTTGCTTAGTTAAACTGCAAGGATATCTCAGTTTATGAACTATTACGTTTGCAGTACAAACAATGTCTGACACATCAAGGCAAATATGCATGAGGTACAGCCTTAAAACAGCAGAAAAATGCACAAAAAAATGGAAGAAGACAAGACCAAATGATTTTACAGTTTATGGGAGTTTGTTTCTATTGACTGAATTACATTGCTAAATAATTTCCATTCTGTAATACCTTTTAATCAGGAGTCAACTTTAATTTCTAATTTTAAACGCTGCAGTAGGGAAGCAAAGGGTTGAAGAGATGTGCTGGCTAATATCCAGCACTGCACTTTACAGTCTCAGTGTGCGTAATGCCTTCAAAACAGATGATCTCACCATTCCCTAACCCTCAAAAAATCTTTGTTCCCACCCTCATGCTACCTCCTCTTTTTGTCAGTAACTGATGCAGCCACATGGTGATTGGCACCAGGAAACAGACCTAGTAGAAAACCAAACTGGAAAAAAAGGGGATTGTAATTACATACCAACAGCATCATATACTAGAGAAATTGCCACAGAATGAAAGTCTGCCAAGTTAATAATATTCATGATGATCTGCTAAGTAAGTGCTGGCTGTGAGGACTGAGGTTGCCTGAGGCTACTGGAAGTCACATATCAAGTTTTCCAGAACATCAGACTATTCTGGGGACTACATGATGAAAAATCATTCCTTCAATGAATGCTTTTTTTCCTTCTCATCCCTCACAGTACTCATGCCTTGTCCACACAATCTAGCCCCTTCCCTAGGTGTTTAAGGAATGTCTAAACAGGAATTATAAATGTTAGGATGCTTGAAAAAAAAGAAAATAATATTTTATGAATGTTTTCTTATTTTAGTCATATGACTGAGAGTTAGGCACCGTTGGTCTTCAGCAAAACAGTTACAGTTCTTAAAGCTAAATCATAAAGTGGAACAGTATTTTTTGTTAAAGACCAGAATACATTTAAATTACCATATCACTGTCACATAAATCTTACGCTGTCTCCTGTGTTCAACAATGCCCTCTATTTTGCTGTTCTCTCTAAATCACTTGAAGAGACATGGTTCAAAAAAACTAACAATTTGCACATAGTAATGCATACAGTAATGCATACATGGAGAGCAGCAACTTCACTTTCTCTTTCAACCGTAACTGCATAAGAACTATACACTGGAACAGAAACGTTTATAGAACAGCTAACAGGGGTTTAGAAAACCTTTGGAAACAGAAGAAAGAATTGCTCTGCTTTGAGGGTTTGGGGATTTTTTTTTCTTATTTCTTTTTTTACCAATCTTGGGGGGGGAAAAAACCACCACAAAAACCCAACACCAAATAGTAAGAAAACAAGAATACATTTTTCTTGTCAGAAGTATCCAAAGTAATAACAAAGACACAGTCCTTTCCTGACAAGTCACAACAAAGGAGTTCAGAGTAATGTAGAAATAACAGGATTTGCTAGCATTCAGCATGATCCCACAATTAAACAATGTTTCCAGTTGGAATAAGACTGCAAACTCAATAGTTCATATTGTAATTGTGTATAAAGACATCTATCATAAAAATATTTTAAAAGTATCTCAATTAATAGGTTCAATACAGGAGCCTCTTTAGTAGTCTTTAGTAATTCATATGTCTAGAAGAGTATTTCTTTTGTGCAGTTATAGAGCTATTTCGTTGCTTAGAGTGCAAATATACACTTCACATTCCAAAAAAGGTACAATCTAGCCACTGAATATCTACAGGTATAAGGCAGGATTAATGGACATGTCCCTCCTATCTCATGTAATGACTCCACACTCTCAAAACCAGGATCTAGGTAACAGGAGCAGCAGAAGCTCCAGTGATTAACACTCTCTGTGCATGACAAAATGCAATACTACTTAACAGCAACACAGCTCACAGAACAAGTAAATTTTAGTTAAGATAATCTTCTGGAGGGAGCCCAAGTTACTGTTCTTGCGGAAGGAAAGGCAGATCTTCCTAAAAATCCTCCTAATCTGTAAATACCTGGGATTTAGGAGAGATCTGATCTGTATTATCTATATGGAACAACCTAAGTGGAAAGTTGAGGCCTCCATATGGTCCTTCTGGAGCTCCCTGACATCATGGATCCCAAAGTCCTTCCAATACAGCAAAAGCTAAGGAGGAACTCAAAGGCAGTTTACGCTGCTCAGCATGTTAATACCTCATAGTAAGATTTCTGTCAGAAATCAGCAGTAATTATCCTGCAAAACCAGGCTGACTCTTTTCCCCATTGCTTCTAGCTTTTACAGAACATTCAGGATCATGTTCAGTACTCCTACACTGCGACAGAAGTACTGAGCATGGACTGAGGAAAGAGGTTCGTTTCTCTTCCCCTTCTTTGGCAGCATGGATCTAAGTCTTAAAACAGTGTGACAGTACATGCTGCCTGGGATTCTCCTTAGATAATCAACATTTCCTCCATTATCCCATTATGCAAACAACTTGTAAACTTCCTTTTCCATTTTCATAGTAAGAAAAGTATCCTCTTTGTGAGCCAGTATCTCATGAAACTGTACTGCAGCTCTCAAACATCTTTCAGCAAGTTTAACTATCTAGCTCAGCTGCTTTTACCTACATATATGAAAGTATATCTTGCTTCTTAAGAATAAAGTAGTTCTTAGAATAAAAATGTATTCCTTGTAATTACTGCAAGTAAATTACTTCCTTTATTATACTTTATTATCAAGCTCATTCATAACTTAGTTTTAATATCCAGAGCATGAAAATTTAAATTTGGACATTGGAATACATGTGAAGAGCTACTTGATTATTTCTAATTTAAACTAAATATTTGATTGAAAAAAACCCAACAAAAACGAAATTTAAGGCATTTCTAGTGAAATGCTAAAGGGGAGTGCCAAGAAATCTCAAAACTAGGTATCAGTAAAAAAGTAGGATTATTCTTCCAAAAACCAGATGCAAAGAACTGAAGCCAGTTTCAGTTGGCCTTGTAAGAACAGGAGGCAATAGGAAGTGAAAAGCTTAAACATGTACAGGATGTGGTTTGGACTGAGTAAAGCGTTAATTTAAGAACAACTCTTACCAGCATAACTACATTAGACTAAAATTTCTATATGGTAGATTTACTCTGTTCCCCAAAATCCTTATTATTATGAAAACATACACACTCACACATGTCCTAATAATGTTGTTATCAGCAACTTAGCTCTAACTATGAGGATCGCATACATGGAGAAATTTAGGTATGATTTTTTTACAGCTAATACAATCAAATATATAAGAACCATCTTCCCACTGATCCTTTTTAGTTTGTGAAGTCTAAATAACGCTTTGAACTTTGTTGTAATGTGCTACTAAAATGTCTGATCAGTTCCTCAAGAGAATAAGTAATAATGAGGCACTAATTGTTTTACAATCAGCCTAAACATAAACAAAATTCTTTATGAATATTTAATCAGCACTTACATTTTCACACTGCATCTTTCTGGGTTTTATGTGGGAAACATTGAGCCCATCAATAACAATATCAAACGGAAGTCGATTTTCCACAAATGTTTGAAAGGCTTGAAATTCCTGAAATAAACAGACAGGGGGAAAGAATATGTTGAGTTTAACAGAATCAGATTTTGTTGTTTTTATTAAAAAAAGAAACAAAGCCTAAATCTCTCACTTTTCCTTCACTGACTACATTTCACATCTATATTGCATATTTGCTAAAACAAACAAACAAACAACACACCAAACCAAAACCAAACAAAAAACCCAACCACGTTGAAAGCCAGAAGTGATACAGCGGATACTTTCACCAAGTTTAAATTGCATTCCAACTCAAAACTAAAACTTTACAGTCATCCAGATGTTCAAAATTATAATCCAAATTGTACATTTTTATAAAGATACATGATATCGTCACTGTTATGCAACAGCTGCCAGACAAAGCAACTTCACATACCAGTAGACTGTGACACTGTTGCTAACAACTCTTAACAATTCCAAATGTAAAATAAGCATTTTATTTATTTTCTCTGTAAGAATTCTGAGATCTCTGCCAGTCTTTGAATAACAGACCTATATTTAAACAACCTTTCATTTAGAAACACAGCACTCCATTTGTGATAAATACACAGCTTTAAAGCTAGCAAACCAATGAACTTCACTAGGCCAGAAATGCAGTGATTGAGCAAACCAGCAGCATCTACCCAGTTTTTCCAACAAAAAAACGCCCACGATTGCTTTAGACTTGAGACGCCATAGGAGGAGAACAGAAAACGAAGCAATAATAAAATCTTTGACAATTCCTCCCTTGATTTTTGAGGAAAGTTTTAGTATTTTTAGCAGACAGTTGCATTAGATTTCTCCTTCTTGCTTCTGACTGTTTTTAGTAAACACAGGAACCCAAACCCTAATGTTGTGGTTTAATTCCAGCCGTCAACTAAGCACCACGCAGCCGCTTGCTCACTCCCTGCCAGTGGAAAGGGGAGAGAATTGAAAGGGTAAGAGTGAGAAAACTTGTGGGTTGAGATAAAGACAGTTAGGACTAAAGATAAAGCAAAAGCCACGCACACAAGCAAAGCAAAACAAGGAATTCATTCACCGCTCCCCATCAGCGGGTAGGTGTTCAGCCATCTCTAGGAAAGCAGGGCTCCATCCCACATGAAGGTTAATTGGGAATACAAATGCCATCACTCTGAATGTCCCTCCCTTCCTCCTTCTTCCCCCAGCTTTATATGCCGAGCATGATGTCCCATGGTATGGAATATCCCTTTGGTCAGTTGGGGTCAGCTGTCTCAGCTGTGTCCCCTCCCAACTTCTTGTGCACCTCCTGTCTACTCACTGATGGGGTGGGGTGACAGACAGAAAGGCCTTGATTCATGTAAGCACTGCTCAGCAGTACCAAAACATCCCTGTGTTCTACATCCCTCCATTCTCAGTAGATGCCTGACCGCATGCCCCTGCCAGACTCCCAAATCTACTTAACTGTTTTGTCTCACTACCAGTAAACTGTGCAATACAATAGGGAGAGAAGGTTTGCTGCCATGGGAGACTCTTATCTACACAGAGAGATGAGGAGTTAATAGCAGAATAAGTGCAGAAGACAAATGGCCAAGCTTAATTTATGTCTCCAAACACAGAAGACTCCAGTAAAAAGCTTTAGACAGACTGAAAATCCCCAAGGATCTGTTAATTTTCTCTTCGCCATCCATATTTCCCCAGTAATACACAAGAGTGCTCCTCTCCAGAAAAAAAAATACACAAAAGAACAACAGAGAAGATCCAGGTCTGCTCTCCTGAGAGACAGTTTTCCCATGCTCTCTGGACACAGGGGAGGAAAAGGGCGAAGCCCAGGAATAAGTAGAAGGCTACACCATCCACATGCAGTATAAAAGGTTATTCAAACATACACATACTTACAGTATAAGAGAAAAAAATCTACAAATTGAAAGATGCTGATCTTTCAAAGACTAGGATTTGTCTGGATTTTATACAGATCCTACTTACAGCCACAGTAATAATGATTCACCCACAATTTTATATAGATATTTCCATCATTAGCCAACTGTAAGAAAAAATTAAGATCTTTATAAGCAGTAAATGAAGTAGAGCACAGCTGCAGCTAGGGTACACATGATCAACATTACAAAATAGTCAACAGTGCAGTATAATGATGACATGAAGACTGATTTAGGCAAAAAAAAGTGAGTTATTCATGCAGGCTTCTCCTTCCAAACGAAGAATTCAACATGTGATCTACATACAGCCCTGCATATGCCACAGGAACATTTACATGGAAACTTAAAAAAAAGGGACACTTCTGATGAACCCTTCAACATTCCAGCAAGTAATGAAACATGTCTCCCCCTCACACACAGTAAACCTTACACTAATTGCTAACTTGTTCTGACAGGGTTAATCTGACAAAATTTCTGAGGAAAGGTGCATTCTCCTGGCATTGGAAGTGCTACTCAAACTTGCTTCAACAGAGTAGGCAACTGAACAGACAAGACTTTAAAAACACATCCAGCATTGCTTATTGACATGACCCCTTTAATGCTCGGGAGCCACAGAAAAGTGTTGCAATACAGCAAGGTTGTAACCTCACTGCAAGACATCCCCCAGCAGCCCATGCACTTTGTGAACACCCTGCAGCAGCAGGAAAATGCAGCAGGGTGCTCACAGGAAGCTCCAGTAATATCCTGTTTCATACCACATGCAAAAGAAATGGGAATTAAAAAAAAAAAAAACAACAAAACACCACCTGATTTCACTCATCACCTAGCTGGGAAAATCGGGGAATGCCAGCTATGCAACTGTTAGAAATTATTCACTGCACTTTCTACTAGGAAAACTTATCTGTGCAAATGGACACCAACAACTAAGTAGGTCGTAACAGCTAAGTAGGAAGTAATAGCTAGCCATAACAAACCCTTGATGGAATTTATCTTGTTGTGAAGAATTAAAGACATTTAAAATAACTTTTTGTTCAACCACTAGCATGAATGTAGCTCAAGTGCATTCATATGTCGGCAAAATCACAAAACAGTCTTGCGTTTTTTTGGTACTCCACACCAGCTGGATGACTTGTGCACTATTTCACCATCATTTTATACAGGTATGTAGTGGTGCTGCCTCCAAAAGAAGTGTTTCTGCCTTCTCCCTTCCCTCAGCCATTCATTCCTAGCTTTGTCCCCTCCTCTACCTACACAAACACGTTTGGTAGCACAGGGTGAAAGACTGAAGTGGATGAACCGAGCCAACGTGAACTGAGCCAGTATCAGTCTTTAGCCTGCACCAGTCGCCCTGTTCAGGTCAGAGCACAGAGGTCTGTCCTAGAATAAAAATGCAGCCAGGGCATGGAACAAGAATGACACTGGTAGCAGGTAAGACTACTGGGATCACCTTTTCCCATAGGTAGCACTGACTAGGCTAATTTACTAGTTTTATGAAATGACAACATTGTATGAGATTTATCTCTCAACCTGTGGTATAGCAGCAAAACCAGAAATAGAGGTTGGTTTTAAAAAACAGAAGTATAGGAATTATTCTTTGAAAAAGAAAGAAAGAAAGAAGTTAGATTTTGGTATTTTAAATAATTAATTTAAAAATATTTCTTTTAAAAAGACTCAGACTTTGAAAGTCTGTCTTACATAGCCAATACTTGAAATAGCAGTAGTAATAAATCTGAAAATAGTACTTTTCTGTAAGACTATTAATACAACTTCTGTAAATACATTTATAAAGAGAAATACATGTTTTTCTTCCAATACCAGTGCACACAGACCACAAGTCTCAAAAGCAGAGCAAAAATGAGTGGAGGAATTAATTATTAGTATTTACAGATTTACTATGTTAAATACAGTAACAGAAATAAATATTACAGTTGAAGACAAAACAAAGAAAAAACAGCTAAACAAGCATTTCCTCTAATATGACCAATAAGAGTAATTCAAATTAGTATTTTGAAATAATTTTAATGTCTGTAACAGATCTAAGGGTATGACAAGTTTCAGATCAGAGAAAGGTTAGATCCTTTTACTTCTCAAGTCTAAATAGGAAATCTGTTGGCAACTAGAAATAAAAACATTGCATTGCTCAAATTCTTCAACAGTCCAAAATGATCTAAATGCCAAAAACCAAAACAATATAACATACATAGGCAGTACATGAGCAAATCAATAGAGGATTTTTAAATACAAGAAAGGCTATTATGTTCATATCAACACATGGATTTTGAAAAAAGAGTGGAAAAAAGGAAAAAAGAAAAAAAAACTACCAAAAGCTATTAAAATCACTGCAGAAAAGGCTGCTCGTCATACCCATTAGGAATGGTGGAGGCACTAAAGTCAAATTAAAAAGTACAAAACTAGAGTATCCAACATATATTGTTTCCAGAAGCATTCGCAAGTTTGTTTTGTACAACAGAAAAAGCAGTGCTTCCTCTCTCTGTATTAAATGACAATATACTCAAGTGCAAGAAAGCAGCAAATTCTAATTAACAGAATATTATACTATTATGTAACTCTACCCTTACTATCAAACAGGGTGTTTTTTAACACCATAAGAGCAGCTTTTAGAGAAGTGAAAACATTCACTTTTTAACAGTTTCATAAAATACAAAGTGATGGGTATTACTTTGTATTCAGTAATGTTTCTTGGTATCAGAAGAAAAACACAGGAATGAGAATTAGAATGTGAGGAATAAAATTCAGCTGTCAAACTGAAATCTTTTCAACATATTTGTAAATAGTGTTCACTACCATTCTGATGTACAAACTTAAGTTGTTTGATCTTCTTTCCTAAAACTAAATACAAAACCATCTTTTTTTTAAATCACAGAACAGACTACTTTTGGGGATACTCAACAAACCAAATCTTTGCTCCTAATTTTCTACTCTGATCGCATTTATGCTTAAGTGAAAGAAATGAAATCAAATCAAATAATGATGCTGTTGCAAAAGTAAGACACAAGACTATGCCTTGGTGGGGGAGGGAAAGGGAAGAAGATTCCAAATACATTAAATATTCTTTTCCAACAATGTTTCAAATTGAATGTTTAGAGCTCAAAACACTTCAAACTGTTTCCCTGAATAATCATTTCATTGCAGGAAGCACAGATACACTAAAGTAAACTAGTTAGGAGAAAAGAAGGAATAGAAAGCTAAAATGTTTTCTATTTGAATTGCAGCTACTACAAAAAAGGGACTGGAAAATGGTAAACCCCCCTCTCAGATATACTTGCATACATCCCATTTTCAATCTCTTCACCTAGCTTCCCCTCTGGAAAACCCTGGCTGCAGGAGAAGTCACACAGTCTGGCATACCTAAAATAGGCAGCATATTCTCATCATCACACATCCGCTTTCACAGCACAAAGGCAACTAAGAAGTCCCAAATTTATTTCTGGAAACCTCTGACACATCATAACACTGTTCTGCCTCTACCCCCACATCCATGCCCAAAATTCACTGAGGGAACAAACTTTTAAGCTGTAGGGCCAATAGTAAACACGAGTTCATCTCCATTCAGCCACCTGGAGACGGCCTGCCAACAAAGAACTGCAACAAGGTCAGCTTAGAACTGGCAAGTGGGTGGCCCCAGAGTGGCAAGTGAAGGAATTTCAGCTATCACACGGAATAACAAAAATCTATGGACACCAAAACTTAAAATAGCATATTGAGTCTTTGTTTCATTAGACTGCGCTCATTTGATCAATCAAGTTCTGAAACAGGGGGAATATAATTTCCACTACTGCTCAGCTTGGGCATGAATGTCCTGTTATCCAGAACTCCCTTCCTAAATCTCCCTTCCTTCAACTGGTACTGCAGAGCTAGCCCTGTGTGCTTGACAAATTTGAAATTTTCAAGTGAGCAGTCACCACAGGGAACAGAAACGAAACATCACAGACTAGACAGTTAACTGGTTAAGGAATTAGAAGTTTTGTTGTTGCTCTCTTTAATAAACCAACCTCACCATAATTTTCACAAAAGCTTTTAGAGAACAGATAGTTAGTTGTACAGTCTGCAATGTAACACATCCTTTTGTTCATCATCATAATATTATAGATGACACCAGTGCCCATTAACTACTTAAAATTATAGTTACATTTTTAAGGATAATTTTACTCCCCTGTACAATTCACATCCAGATCAGCTAAAAGTCCTGAACTAAGGAGAAAATCTGTGTGGAAATTAGATGCCTGAACAACAGGCTGCAGGTACTACAAGTACCCCAACACTAACTGTTTCAAGTTCCTCTAACTGTTACACATGCGCAACGTCTGTCTGCAGAAAGCCTGAAGAATTAAACCTGGTGTCCTCTTTCGCATTTTCAGAACTGGTGCAGAACTGAGGTACCAGCTGCAGCAAAATGACTTCCATACTTGTCAAGGTACCGGAAAAGATGGCCGAGATGCGGCAAGGGCTCTATCTAGCAGAGTTTGCCTTCATACCGCATGTCCCTGTGCTCATGTGCCCACTTCCACGTAAAAATACATCAGTAAGAACTGCAATATATTACAGTATCTAGGAACTGATCACTGCCTATAACCACCTGAAAGGAGGTTGTGGAGAAGTGAGTGTTGGTCTCTTCTCCCTAATGACAGATGATCGGACGAGGGGGAATGGTCTCAAGCTGCGCCAGGGGAGGTTTAGATTGGACGTAAGGAAGAAGTTTTTCACCGAAAGGGTTATCATGCACTGGAACAGGCTGCTCAGGGAGGTGGTGGAGTCACCATCCCTGGATGTGTTTAAGAGACGGGTGGATGAGGTGCTGAAAGATATGGTTTAGTGGCGGACAGATACGGTTGGACTGGATGATCTCTAAGGTCTTTTCCAACCCAGTGATTCTATGATTCTATGAATTATGCTCTTTCTTATGTTTACAATAACCTTTGGAAAACTTGATACTCCTGGTGTATTCTGTAATTATAAATATGAAAGTGTATGTTTAAAATTGAGGGGGAGTTGGTTGGTTGGCAAGTTGTGAAAGTTGACTGAACAACATGCTCATCAGGTTTTTATTGTTTCTGCCCAAGTTTTTTTATTGTTTCTGCCCAACTGAAAAATCAAATATTCAGCACATAAATGTAAGCTCTAGATATGATACTGAACTTAATAAGAAACACTAGGACTTCTTTTTTTGCAAGCTCAGAATACTAGATGTCTGATTTTGTTCTAGTTACTGGGTTTTATCCCATATTTAAAATTTAGCTTTTGAAGGATTAAAAGATTTCCATACCTTTAAAATTTTTTAATGTAAAAGAAAAAAAAAAAACAAACATTTTAATGATTTCAGTATCCATTAACAGCTGACTGAAAATATAAGAACAAAGACAATATGAAAGAGGTCAAGATTTAGACCTATTTTATAAAAACAAATTAAAATATATAACATACCTCAGAATCTAATGGACTATTAATGTTTAAAGCAAAAAAAAAAAAACTAGATCAGTGGTGTTTTCGAAGTACCTGAACATTAACTAGATATTACCCTCACAGCCAATGATCTTGACAGTATGCAAGACCTACCTGTGGGCTTGTCTTTCTAAAAGTGTCAGTTCCATGTATCACATCCCTTATTATTCTTTCTCTGAGATTATTATACTCCTCTTCGGTGAGGTCACTATCCTCCAACTGATGGTTGCAAACTGGGCACTGTCCACTGTAATAATAGTGAAACAAGAAAATAAAGTTCAAAGGCTTTTAAATAAGAAATAATTTATACTAAATTATTGTGTGTCTGTGTAAGATCTCAATTCTTTACAACACAGTACAATCATCAGAAAATTAGTTGTACTCTTTTTGGATGCATCTAAAACCTACTGAAGTCACTAGAAATATTTTTATGTGATTTAGTGGAATCAGTATCAAATATTTAACTCTACAGACATTTGAGGATTTAGGATTAAAACTCTGCATAAGCAGAATCAGTATCAAATATTTAACTCTATAGACATTTGAGGATTTAGGATTAAAACTCTGCATAAGCACCAAAAAAAAAAAAAAAGAGCATTTAAATATTCACCAGCATTTATTTAGGCCTTTAGAGACCAGAGTTCAATTCCCAGCATCACCACAAATTTCCACATCTATAATATCTGGAAGTTTCCCTACTACGCAGAAAAGTCATCATGGATACATACAGTCCAGATGTCAATAAGGGAAGGTGATGTGGTTGCACTGGCCTGGCCAGAACATACGAAGTAGGTGTAGGCATACTAGTTGAAGCTAGCAGGCAGCTCACAGAGCCTTGGTCTAGCTGTAAATCCATTCCAAATTGTTACAACAAGAAAATGCTCCACTATTGTGCCACTGACTGCTCCTACAAAAAAGCTAAATTATCTGGGCCTGATTTACCAAGGTTTGGAATAACCAAATCTTCCACAGGTATAGGAATCATCCCTCAAAAAAGAATAAAAAAGAAAGACAGAAAGAAAAGGTAACATAAATCTGCTGTATGGTTGTAAAAGGAAATAATGATTAGGACTGGCTTGTTTGTGTCACTTGTCTTTGCTATCAGACTTCCCCTTACTTCTTAGGCTAAGACTGACTACTCAGATCTCCAACAGTGGTTGAAGTGAACACACTGAAAGCAGAATGTGACTAAAACAGAAATACTTGCCCTCAGCAAGACTAAGTCGCACTGGCACTGCATGTCTGTACGACACCCAATTCCACCAGAGATTTTCCAGTATCAGGCTGACTTCACCAAAACAGAAAGCAGCTTTACATTGCTATCTCCTGGTGACTAATCACTACTTGTTTCTTTACTGCCAAGAAACTTCTGTTCCCGCTCTGTAGCATAGGCTAAACATCATTACAAGAATCTAGGAATGTGCAGCAGCTACAGCCAATCAATGCCATCATCTAGTGTTCATTTCTCGGAGCTAGAAACGCCACTCCATCATGCACAGCTATGTCAGTGACTTGTATGACTGCAGGCAGCACTGGAATAGTTTCCTTTGTGATTCACATGGTCCGCTTCTCAGTACTCAGTATTCTCCCTTTTGCAGGGCCACCAGCTACAGTAACAACTGTGGTTCTGCAAATCCCATACCCACAGTTGTTCTGCCTATGACACACACACGAACCCTCCACTGATCTGTCCATGCATGCTTTAAAGACACTTAAAGACCACAGAGATTGAGAATCCATCATACAATAAAAGATTACAGAATAGAACAATAGGGGATGTGAAAAAACGCGACCTCAAATTCTTTAGTTTCCTCCAGAACAGTGAAGGATGCCATGGCATGCCATAGGGAGGTGATTCTGCCCCTCTACTCTGCTCTGGTGAGACCCCACCTGGAGTACTGCGTCCAGCTGTGGAGCCCTCAATATCAGAAGGATATTGACCACTTGGAGCGAGTCCAGAGGAGGGCCGCAAAGATGATCAGAGGGCTGGAGCACCTCTCCTATGACGAAAGGCTGCGAGAATTGGGCTTGTTCAGCCTGGAGAAGAGGAGGCTCCGAGGAGACCTCATTGCAGCCTTCCAGTATCTGAAGGGGGCCTACAAGGGTCCTGGGAGAGGACTTTTTACAAGGGCCTGTAGTGATAGGACAAGGGGTAATGGGTCTAAATTGAAATCAGGGAGGTTTAGATTAGATGTCAGGAAGAAATTCTTCACAGAGAGGGTGGTGAGGCACTGGAACAGGTTGCCCAGAGATGTTGTAGATGCCCCATCCCTGGATGTCTTCAAGGCCAGGCTGGATGTGGCTTTGAGCAACCTGGGCTAGTGCAAGGTGTCCCTGCCCATGGCAGGGGGGTTGGAACTAGATGATCTTTAAAGGTCCCTTCCAACCCTAACCATTCTATGATTCTATGATCCTGAAAAATTTTCCAGAACAGCATGAGTGAGGCAACGCTACAGAGAACATACAGATCCATGCTAGCCAATAGGCACATTGTCCTGCCTAACCAACCAAGTGCTGCAAAAACACCCCAGTACTGGGAAAAGCCATCATACCGAACCACGACCATGAGGCCCAAGTCAACTGCTATGAGTTGAGTTTTTGCTCCTACAGCCTTCTGTAGCCCAGGACACACATAATTCCAAGATGCAAAACAATAGAGGCCTAACTTCTGTGACCACCTATGTCTGGATTTTTGTATGATCCCCAGAATTATATCTTGAGAGAAAGAACAAATCTTTTTCCTAATATCCAGCCTTTTCTGTTGTTTCATGTCCCACAGCCATGACCTCCGCTCACAGTCTGAAGGAAATCAAACTGGAAGTGTCATAATTTCCATGTCCCATTCAGTCATTCTTTTCTTTCCTAGTTGTCTCTCCTTTTAACCCCTATAAACTAAACACATAATCAACACAATGCAACTCAATACCCAGGTCAAAAAATATATGTCATGCATCACTACCACGAACCTCTGGGCCCACCACAAAAGCAGCATGTAAGGTGGGCTAACTAACAGTGGAGGACTGAGATAAAACAACCTGCACCTCAGTGCTTGAATTGTGAACTAATTTTTTTCCCCGCCCCTAAAAATCTTATCTGAAAGTTTTGCAGATACACTTCCTAAAGACAAACCAATGAGCTACAAATATACATAGACTTAATGGGTACACTTCTTGACTTGCATGTCTGATTGTGGGTTAAACCTAGAAATTTTTCCAAGTTTAACTCTTTAATAACTACATGAAAAAAGAAAAAGAAACCGTCAGATAGGACATTAACATACACTAAGGAAATTCAGTCTGTCATGTCTGTTCTCAAGCACTTCTGCCAAAAATATTAGATATGAGATACAGCTTGCATCTTCATCACCAGACTGGATGCTCCAACGACAGTACCAAGAAAATAAGCAGAATCTAGTAGCTTCTCCAACAGAAAATAAAGTGACGCTTGGTCTGGATGGGTCTTCGGTTCTTCCTAGCTGACAAACATCGACCTTTTTCTGCTTGCTTCCACTTAAGCTTCTCTTATATGCAGGGTACATTGTTGATGCTTCACATTTTTCTCTTCTACCATGCTCTGTTCAAAAAACTACATTCACCCATCTGACACAGTCTGAACTGAAGGAGTAACTATTCTTCCCTAAATCCATCCAAATATCTTTTTACAAGCACAACCTCAGAACTGAACTGTAGGATTTAAGCTTTACATGTTAAGATGGAATGAGTTACTCTCCCCTGGCTGTTTCCAGAGAGATCCTAGAGATGCCAAATCTAGGTCATTGTAATTTTCTAAACACATGGCAATCAGAAATGTTCAGCTCTCCCAACTGGTATCTAACATACATTAATGCACATACCATAAGCCAAGACTGCATTGATGCAATGCTGACAGTGCATTTACTGAATCAAATAGTTACACATAGAATCCCAACAATGGACATTCATTGCTGCATACAAACCATATGCTCCAGTAGCTCAACCCACTGCAAGCATTGCAGGCTTAGCCTACATATTAACACAAGCAATGAGACTGGCTCCTCATATAGCTTTAAAGTTACCATTAAATACACCTAATTGCATTAAGGAACTTAATGGTAACAGAGAGGAAAGGTTTGGTAACAGAGAGGAAAGGCCTAACGAACTGTTATGAGACTACTTCAAAATTATTAAGCCTAAAGTTTAAGGACCTGTCCTATAGTTAACTTGGATCCTTTCGCAACTACCACTTTCTAATTACCTGAAAAAAACCAAACCTCCCCATTATCCCAGCAAATCAACTGACCCCAACCACCTACCAACAACCAAAGCTCCTGAAGACAGTTTCTTCTCATGAAGTCTCAATGTGGATTCCCAAAGGGAGCAGAGGCAAAACAGGCACGAGAAACAAAGCCCTTAGTCTAACTGCTGTTTTTTTCAGAACCACACCTTGCAAGTTTTGTAACTTCTTACTGATCATTTTAGGATATCATGCCAAGAAATTCCCACACAGGCGGCTTTCACCTCTGTAGGACATCTAGCTGTCCTTACAGCTAACTGACCATTTAGTTACTTTTTTGAGGGACTACTTTTTTTGAAATAGATTTGGAGTATCATGGCACCTATGTAACAATCATGAAGTCACATGCTACAGTAATTTGAATGCAGGCTCCAGAAACTTGAGCAGCAGCTTTCTATAGCCGACCTTGAAAATCTAAAGCTTTTGTAACTCTCAAAGAAAAATGGTCACCAAACTTCAAGGCTTGTTTGCATGGGGTTCAAGCTTCTGACTATCACTAGGAGCTCAATGCTACAGGAAGAAGAAAATACTGTGGATAGGAGCATCTTAGATATAACTGCCAATATTTATACAAAATCAGAATAACCTAAGAATAAGCCTAATAAATTATCAAACTCAGTTTAAGAAAAAATAGTTCTTCTGGATTTTTTAACCCAAGACATCAGTTATGCTGACTGCAGAGATGAGTCTAGTAACAACCATCACATGAGTTTCAGAGATATCTTAAAGGCTTAGTCCTTTATGAGTAGGACCAAAAAAAAAAAATCCCACAAAAAAACCCCAACAAAACCAACAATTTTTTTTTTCTGTCTTATATCCTAAGGTTCTTTTCTGACAGCAACCATTTAATTTAAACACAACAAAACTCTTATATTCTTTTTCTTTTCTTGAACCCATTTTAATTTGATTCAAATACTTATCCAAGTAGGCTGTCTCAAACATGGTTATTTCCAAATGAAGAGTGTTCATACACTTACCACAAAATAACTACCATATAGCACCTTGTCAACACTTTGTTCACAGATTCTTAATCCATGATAAAATGTAGTGGTGATGTAAGTTAGTTTAGCTCTCCAAGTCTGTTACAGAGTTTACAGACAGTAAGATAACAAGCTACTTCTTAACCAAGACAATCAGCTTTACAATTTTAAAACTCTAAAGGCTGCAAAAGGTTGTCTAATTTGGTGAATTATCATAATACAGTATAGTAACACACACACTCATACATAATAATAATAATAATCCATCTTACAGCGAACAAGTCCTACTCTTAGGACAGTGAGTTATGCTGTTCTTTCATGGGCTTCAAAATCAGCAGCCTCTACATATGCTTTTACTTCAGAGTACACAAGAGTGTATTTTTATAAACCAACAAAAAAACCCATAACCCACTGGAGACATTCTTGTAATTAATACATTTCTAGTTGCCACAAAACTACAGAACTAGGTTTCAAATAGAATAACATTTAAAATAGGAATTTACAGACATTAAGAAACCCGTGGAAATAGAAACACATACCAAAGTTATCCCTGTGAAAACCTAACAGGAATCATTTTGTCTGCACTGACAATCAGGTGGGAAAGGAGAATCCTTTCATCTGTACAAATTAACTGCAGCATGTGAATAGTATCAGTTTTCAAGAAGACATCTATTTACACACCAAAGATGCTCTGTTAAATATCGAGTTAAACAGTGGTATTATAAAGCCAACCAAAAAAGTAAGTCTTTAATTCCTAAACAGTAAAAAAATAAGTCACCCTGTAAAATGGCAGCTTTTTTTTTTTCTCGGTTTTTTTTCTGTCTTGGCTCTGCTTAGCATAACTCCTTTCCAAATGTGCATGTTGGTATTTGTTTAATGCATGAGTTGGAAACTGGAGTTTGGGAAATCATATGTACACAAAAAAGGTTCATATTCTGAAGGATTAAAATATTTTCTTATATAAGGAAAGCTACTTTTTTATATTTGTGAAAGAAAAGTTTGAGATAGAATAATCAAGACACCTCACTTTTAAATAAAATGTTGCATTTACCTGTCTTTGATGCTGGTCAGGTGTCCTCTCCAGTTCCCTCCTGGTATACTAATAGGTACAGAGGGAAAGATAAATGAAACAATAGATTCTTATTTAACAATACCTGAATTACAAATAAATAATACTTCTATTTTGGCCAACATTTAGAAATTACAGACCAATCAATCATCTACCCTGCAAAGAAATCATACAAAGATTTATATATAATTTAGCAACACCTGAAAATATTATATAAAGAAACAGCATTTAACATGCAGAGAATTAACAACATCAACCTCCCCTGTTTATGTCGTCCCCAAGTATTAAGACACACACAAATAACCAGGCTACACTGACAATTTTTCAGTTGCTGTCCGACACATTCATACATAAAGCACCCTGGAAATCAGATGGGAAAGCAGGAATCAAGATTTCTAGACAGATGTCATCCTGAGAGATTAAGGAAGACATGCTCATACCAAAATGCTGCATTCTGACTTTTAGGCTCCACATCATTATCATCACCACCACTACCAGAGCCACCATCATGCTCGTGTAAACATTCCTTTTTGCTCACACGATCCAAATCAGAATAGGTTACAGAACAGGAATACCCACAGCAATATAGGTCTGCAGACAGCTATACCTTTGCTGCTGTGTTTATTATCATAGGCTGCGCAATCATGCATGCCGTGCGTGGGCTTTGGAATAACCGTCCTGCTTCTGTCCTCCTTTCCCATTTCTCATGGTGACATAGAGCAGTTCTTCAGTTTTCTTACAAAGACAAGAGGCAACAGGAAATCCTGTGATTCTTTGTTGCACACTAAGATCTCTGTATTGGATCTGGCTTTACTTATTACTAGAATCAGTGCTGGTCTGCTCTTCAGAAAAGCAATGTTTTAAAACTAACACCAATTCAGTTACACTCACAGAGTTCATTTCCATGCATACTGTACCACCAGTTTCCTTTGTCAGCAAAAGTTACCTCCCAGTCTGCATCTTTTTTTGCAAGACTAACAGCGCTAGAAGTTATCAGATTCTATTTTTTTTTTGAAACTCCAAATAAACTGCTTATTTACTTTCAGCCACCAGCATATACAAGTTCCACAGCACTAGCAATTGGAACAGAAAGGTAAAACAGGTTCACAGATAAAAAGCCAGATGCAGTAACCAATCACCTAGTTTCATCCCTCTATTATAGACTTTGTTTCTTCTTCATGTTTGAAACACTACTTTTTTTAGGGAAACACCCAATGTTGATCTTAAAACATGAGTTTACCACAATCTTTCATGAATTGTTCTAACAGTCAAACACTGACCATTCAAAGATTGTTGAACAGTCAAACACAAAACAGGAGTTTGTCTAGCTACAGCCTGCAGTACTGGTTTACCACTACATACAGGCAACATGCAACTCTCCAACGTACTCACTGTTCCTTCAGTCTCCTTGGCAAAGACTTATTACATTGAGTTTCCTGTGCACACAGCACACCCGTACAGGTAAGTCCTTTACTCACTGGAAAACAGCACCCCACGACAGACTGTCACCCACTAAAGCATTGCATCTCAACTGAAGCCTACTCTGCCTGCTCCCTCGCTTTTCCCATGAAAGAAGATATCTAGGGGACAGCAACATAAACTGTTATAATAATGGTAGTGCATTCCCACAGCCATATTTTCCATCCAGAAAGACTAACTTGTAAAATGACTGTGTAGCTCACATAAATCTAACAGTTAAAAAAAAGCAATAGATGGGCTCACATACAACAGCATGACAGATATGCATACACAGCGTAACTAGTTGTTATTTGCAGAGTCTGAACATCACTACCCATGAAAACAAACCGTGCCCTCCCAAAAACTGTGCTAAACCAAAGAGCATTTGTTTTAGGACTATTAAGATTAGTCCTCTCCTATTATTCTATACAAAGTCAACACTTCAGTTAGCCTAGGCTAAATTTGCTGCCTCTTTCCTTTAAAGAGCGAAAGTATCTAATTTTCAAGTACCTTACTACTTCTATACTCCAACAGATTATAGGAAAACCCCTCACATCTGACCATATTCCTTATGTACCAACCCCAGAAAGAAATTAAGTTGGTGTTTTGGACAGCCATGACCCATCACAGCCTCCTACTTTCTGTACCAAGAAATAATATTTAGCAGGTAAAATCTTTCAAGAAAAGGTGAAATCAGTAAGAATTTACACTAATGTTGGAGTAAAACCAAAATGTATCTTTTCATGGCAATGTGTGTCTTATGGAGAAACAACAACTAAAATAAGATGTTGAGAGGTCTTATTAGACTTGATCTGTGGAATAATCTGAATCTCATCCTCATGAACTGGAGCTTGCTATTGAAACATTAATTACCTTTCAAACCATAGCTTTATACTCCGCATAAATGTTTTGTGAGGATATATTTGGTTCTCTCTCAAATATAAGAGGATACCAAACAGCTCTTTTTGTAACTCAGCACCTTTCATACCCCTGCTGAAGTCAAACAAGGCCTGCAGGACATCCAAAGACGGGACCAAATCCTTAGTCAACATTTCATGGTAAAGTTCAAATGCAAGGTTCATATCTTGGTGACGGCCGGCTGCTTTGATACAGGATTCATAGTTTGTCCGCGAGGGAATCGTGATCTTTTTTACTTCTTCCAAAAGAGTCAAGGCCATCTTCCATTGATCTGAATTACACAGCCCCCTGATAAGAAGGTTGTAAGCCCCACTTTCTAAAATCCTAAATCTGATTTTCATTATATCATACACATCACAAATTTCTGAAGTCTGCCCCTGCTGAAAAGCAACAAATTATATGCAATGTCACCATTCCTCTTTGCCACATGGGTCAACAAGGACTTAGCCACATCAACAGGGCTGTTGCACCTGACCATATTGTTAAACATCACTTCTTCAAATATTTCAGGTGATCGAAAGCTTTCCCTCAGTCTGTTCCATTCGTCAGCCTGCAAAGGTTTTTCTGGAGGCTGTACAATGCTAAACTTATGCCTTGACAGAGCATGACTCATTAACCATTTCCTTGGAGTTCCAGCAGAGTAAGAAAAGTCAAGTTTCCCTTCAGTTATTTCTTTAGTTTCCTCATCCCACTCTTTTTCTTCATAATCAATTTCAGACCTTTTCTTTGTAGGAAAGGCATCAGTTCCTCTGGGATTGACCGGTAATGCAGTACTGGAAGACGTCATAAAGCTAACCTTCCCCCTATTGGGTATGCTGAGAGAGACAGCAAACAATTGTTGACATCTTGAAACAGGCCAGAACATACGACATTTCCACAGCAAAGCCTGAAAACCCTGTTGACTAGTCTGAGAAAAGAGTGCCATCGCAAGAAGAAATTATCTCACTCTTAGGTTGCTGTATCTAATAAAGTTATAAAACGGAAAATGCAGATTGCCTGGGGATGTTTAGTATAAAAACGCAAGGGCTGTAAATCTGTATAAGCTACGGCTTCAAAATGCTTGTTCTCCAAGTCCTTTCTGCCTCTTATAAAAACAAAAAAAAGCAAAATATTTTTTCACAAAAATTCATCTCTTAGACTGTGAGAATATTCATCCAAAATGAGGGTATTTTTCTTTATAGAGAAGATGCTTTCCAGGTTTGCAGTTTATCGTTTCTGCCAGTTGGTTACTGTAAAGATGATTACGGAGTATGCTGTGCACAGACAGAAAACTCCGATTCAGCTAGGCAAAAAGCAGTTTTTCTTTCTGCCTTCATCTGAGTCAGGTTTCCTAAAAATAATAATAAAAATAAATAAATAAATAAATAAATCGCAACATCACAACCCAATCCATTCTTTCCTGTCGTATTTACATTTGCATGCTAGCAAACACAAAGTTCAATGTACCTCGACAATCCCAGTCCTGATTCCTCTGGCAGTCTCAGCACAGGATTCCTATGATGGCTCCCTCATACCTTTCAACCTGCGGCAAACTTCCGTTTTACTGGTTTCCCCAATCGTAAAACCTTGGTAACGCCCACGTAAATGTTAGGTTATGAACGTAAATATCGGGACGTTCGACAGCAGCCGGGCAGGCAG